TCCTGAATCCCCGCAGAGCCGACGCGGGGTCACCAATCTGCTGCCCAAATCACCTTCCCCCTTCCCTGACCGCCTCGGTCCTTCCTACATCTTCCCATATTTAACTGCACAGGCTACTTTAACGCAAGGATGCTTATAGGGAGATCCCTTGCATCCGCACAGATCCTGACAGCGAGGCGGTGGAGAAAGGCCCACGCTGGGTGCTGGGTGCTGGGTGCTGGGCAGCCTTGGCGAGGATGGCTGCACCCCCGGCAGCAGCAGAAGGGGCTCTCAGGCCCCGCCGGCGTGCTGCGAAGCGGTGCTGTGTGCCCTGAAATCATCTCTTCTCCTTCTTCCCCCACGGCAGACGCCGGGTGCGTCCTGGGTGGGCAGAGGGACAGCGCGGCCCGGCCATGCGGTGTAAATGGAGCGGAGGGTCTTTGGCTATAAGGATTTGGCCCATTTCACTTCCCTGCTTTCTGCTAAAAGACACCAAGTATTTTTTTTCCCCTCTAAGCAGGAGGAATTTGGCACGGCGTGCTGGAAGAGGAGAACCGGGGAAGGCAGAAGAGACAGAGCTGCCCCCCAGTACTCAGGTTTGCCACCTGTAATATCTGCCGCTTCCACCCGCAGACGCCGAGATGCTGCGGAAGCGGCTCCTTCCCTCTATCTTCCCATTTATCTGCCCGCCCAGGCACTCACGCTGCCCTCCCGGCCGCTGCCTCCAGGAGCATCGCCAAGCCGAGAGCTCAGCAAATGGCACGGAGCTCCACGAAACTCAATTGAGGGCAGGCTTCTGAGCCGAAATGCATTTTCCGGCTACGCTCTCTCGCTGCCGCTCGCTCACTGCAGCTGTCTGCTGTACAGTTGTAGAAATTAAAATTCAATGCTTTCCTCATTTAGCGGAAAAGCGCTTGGCATTTTGAAATGTTATTCTTGAAAGTTCAGTTGCAGGCATGCTTTGTCCTTTACCTAGTTTGATTGAAGTTTAAAGATTCTGAATTAAGCCAGCTTTGGCATCCACGTCTCAAAACAAAAAGGAAGAGACAGTGAGAAAGAAGCTGGAAAATACATTTGACGCCAAACCCCAAGGTTTTCTCCTGCTCCCGTGGAGCTGAGGCAGGGGCTGTGGCGGTTTTCCGGGCACAGCCGCAGCGCACACCGCACGCCACGGCTGCTCCGGGCATTTCCACCGCTGAGCAGAGCTGCCGGGACTGACCTTTGGGAAACACGGTGTGTCCGCGATGGCACATGCTGCGAGGTACCCCACGGAAGATGCGTGTTCAGCCATTTAAAACCATAAAAGGGTTTTAAAAACCCAAAAACTGATGTGTTTTTTTTTAAAAACTGATGGGAAAACAAGGGAGGCAGCCATCATACGTGGCAGCACAGGACGCAGACGGCGTTTCCCTGCGCCGGCGGCTGTGCTCACAAAGTGCCTCGTCTTTTAGAGCCAGAGGGGACGGCCCCTGGTGCGGCCATCACCGTCCGTCCGTGGCACAGCAGAGACCGACCAGGTTATCACCCACCGGCTGGTGAAGGCGGCGGAGGGTTGCACGTAAACTGGACTCTGCTGCCTTCAGCGGAGCGGCTTAGTTCAGGTCTTAGAGGCTGCCCTTCCTCTGCTCAATTCGCCTGTTATTGCCTAAGCCACGTTTTTGGAAAATTTTCTACCGGATCCGGAAGTGTGGGGCCAGGGCTCCTGTTCCAAGGCGAAGGAAAACTGGTTAAGCTCAGTCTTTTTTGGAAGGAGTGCGAGGAAACAAAACTTTTCCTCTTTAATGTCAGTGCCTGTCTGGGCCGTGGTCTTTTCTGGGAAGCGTTTGGAAGGGTCTCGAAAGACTGAAAAGGGTGAGGAGACGAAGGGAAGGGAGCACAGGACGAGGGAGGCGGGATATAAAACCTTCTCCAAAGACAGAGCTCAAGGATGTGATCCCGAACAACGGGGAGAGCCCGACACAGAGGGATCACAGGAGGGAGAACGGGGGAGGCTGCGACTTCTCAGCCACAGGTCATCCCGGAGGGGAACAGCACGACTTCCCAGGCACACGCACACACGAGATCAGGGCGCTGCAGAGGAGCGTCCCCAGGCTTGCCCGAAAGCTGCAGTGCCGGGGGGACGTGTCCGTGTCCGTGTCCGTGTCCAGCTGCAGGGGCGAGCAGCGGGGAGGCAACCCAAGGGTCCGGGTGCTCCCCCGTGGCGAGGGACGGCTGAGCCGCTGTCAAACGGGTCTTAGGAAGGAGGTGGATTCGTTAGGGATTTGGAGTACGATATAAAAAGAGCAGTACCTAAGTTTTCTGCGATCCTTTTCTTGCTCATCTCCATGGCCTCTTGTCGGAGCTGCAGGGCGTGCTGGGCGATCTCATCGCTTGCCACGTTGGAGGTCATGATGAAGATGGCATCCTTGCAGTCAATGGTTTTCCCCTTCCCATCCGTCAGTCTGCCCTGCAACAAC